CCACAGGTATGGATTCTAATATGTATTTCTCCTTAGGAAAGCAACTTGATATGTAAAATAATCTACACACAGTCTTTCTACACAGCATTTACTGTATTCTGTGTTAGTCTATTGAAAAAGCAATATTTATCATAAAGAAGAATAACCCAAAAAAAAATCGAGGCACATTAAAGCTGAGTGACAAATTTGAGTTGTAATATCAGTCTCAGACCCAACAAGGTAGTCCAGAACCTGCTCTACCACCTCAGACATCAGTTTTCTGTTGTACTAAGCACAATTATTTTCCAGATATCTGTTACGAATTTTCTTGGGTTGTTTCCCCCCACCAGGAACAGTTTCCTGATCAAATGATGTATCTGATCTACTTTTGGTATCTCAAGTATTCTAGCAAATGAAAGCATATAGTAAATTTGAGCCCTGTTCAGATCAGTGAAACTTGTGACCTGAATCAATGGAAATTCCTCCCCAAACTTTTCTTAGTGCATTTTAAAATGCTGCCAAGAGACAAGTCAACAGAAAATAAAGGACTACTGCAGCCTTATAAAATCTGCTTCTGGTTTTCTAATTCTTGCAATAAAAAGCCACCATAATGCAGCCTTCAATTGCTACGTTTCTCACAAGGTTTCTCATGCAGTGAGAAGAGACCTGACTGTCACTAAGACCAAACTGACCCTTGCATAAAAGCTTTTTCTAAGCTCTTAAACAACCCAGTGATGGTTATCCTGGAATAAAAATATAATGGCAGATTAAGGATATTAATCATCATAGTAATAAATGATAGGATAATGTACTGCAATCACAAATCCTTGGCTGAATTTTGTTATGGGTAATTGCATCCCACTCACCAAGTGTTGCCTTGGGTACTGAGAGAACTGTTCTGTGCCTGAGCCCCAGAGGTGGGAGCATTCCTGCCTGTGTGACAGGACAGATGGCTCCAGTCCTTTGGGATCCTCTGCATGGAACAGCACTGGAATTCAGAGGAACAGATGTTCCTGTAATATGTGGGAAGAATATAAGCTTCACCATTTACTTTTAAGATAAATGTATTGAATGCTGTTACATTTCTGCACAGAAATTTCTCCAGAAAAAAA